ATCAGGTCCATCAAGAATGGGTTCAATCTCCCTTTGGTTCCCAGTCTCTTGTCTTGTCTCGGCCTGGCTTAACAATCTGGGACCTGAGACAGCGATTCCCACTGCACCAGTTGGGGCCGTGAGGAGAATGGACAGCACAGCTATGGTTAATATCTACAGTGTAGTTCAAATGAGCAAGTATACGTCATCTTAAATCAGTTGTAAATGATATGTTCCGTCAGGTTTTTTCTTATCAGTTTTCTTCGTACTTGCTTTTGGTGCTGTAAGTTTTGACATGAAAATTCACGCTAAGATTAAGGGGCTACGTCACAGTTTGCGCATCTTGAAGAGTTTAGCCGAAATTTTTCAAGTTCGTCGTTTGTAATCCGTGTTAATCTTCTCGATCCTCGACCATCCTTGTTCCTTAAATGGTTTATTATTATCTCTTTGGTGTTTTTCTATCTTAGTAAACTGTTATTTTCAGGTTTCCTTCAATTTAAAGGCAATTTTGCACATGGCCAAAATAATTCAAAATACCGTGACTGAGCTCCTTTAACGCCGGTTACATCTTATTTCAGCAAGACCCGGTGCCCCCAGCGCTAGCTCTGGCAAGTATTCTGTTGCGAGTACCCAGCTTTATTATTAGCAGTTTTCATAAATTGGTCTTTTAAAGAGAGAGATGTTGTGGGACCCTGTTATTGCTTTCTGACATACTGTACTTGAAGTCATCAAACTCATTAATAATTCATCGAGTGAAAACAAAGAAAATCACAGCCGTGAAGGAGGTTTGGATACACGGTCTTAATTAGCACAGCTTTTGACGATTTTACTTCTCCCTTTACTCCTTAGGTTTTGTTTCGATTGAGAAGATGTATCAAACACTAGAGACAGTGTTTCATCGGTTATCCAAAAACTTCGAATTTCTTCAAAAATACTTCGCTGCGCCGGCGTCATATTTTCAACTCTCCTCTCGGTGTTTGGATATCCCGATGAAACACTGTCTCTCGTGTTTGATATATTACTTGAAAGCAAAGCGGCCTTGAATTTTACAAGTAGTTTGCTTTGTCCTTGTTTCGAGATGAGAAGTTGGCAGCCTCAGCAAATCAAGAAAATCGTGGAATATTCTAAGATAAGAGGTTTTTATAAGAACCATACTACAATTATCAGTCGAGTGAGGCACGACGAAAGTTTGGTGACCAGTTTTTAATGTTCAACTTTTGTTGTTTTTACGGGGAATTGGCTCCGTTTCAAGCGGCAACTTGTCTGCCTTTTTTAATTTAAACGTTGTTAAATTTTAAAAAGTCCAAAACTCGTCACCAAACTCTGTCTCGCCTTATTCAACTGATAATCAAAGTAACTCGTTAACAGAATTGTGATGACATCATACATAATGAACCAATGACTAAGACTTGGAATGGTTG